CACGCTTGTATTCCATCGTCAGTAGTGGTGTGGTTAACATATCGAAACTCAGTAAGTAGGTCTTGGTGCTGTGAGGAGATCTGGGGTTGTCGACATCATCAATTCTTTTTTTATTTTTGTGAGGGGGCTGTTACATGACCGGGGTCTTATTTATATACACCATGTAGGTACGTGTACTAAGGTACTTGAATTATGAGCTTTGCCTGGCCTTATAATACCAATACGTAAATCTATGCATTTGTTACGTCCACATGTGGCCTTCGTATACAAGACCCTACCAGATGTACTTCTTCTCTCTTTGTCGAGGAAGAAGCCTCCGAGAACTTGAGTGGTGTAGTCTATGAGCCGAGCCGGCTCGAGTGTTGGGTTCGAGCTTTCGGCTCTTTAGGAGTGAGCCTCACCTTCCAGCGAGCCTGAGTCTGCTTGAGCCGTTTTCTCTAAGGCTCGAGCTTGGGCTCGAGCTCAGTTCATTTGCTTCGAGCTAGGCTCAGAAGCTATAAAAGCGGTAAAAAAAGACAGAGTCATACCTACTTGAATGCTCAAACAATTATTGCCTTCTCACAGTATTAATCCATGAAATGAAGCCTATATCTGCCATTTTACTACACTTAGTGCAAGGATAACCTGTTTTTTGTATCATTGACCACCGGCTCGAGCCATTTTATGAGCCTGCCACCAAAACTCGAACCTTGCGAGCTTCTGTTTCCTAGGAGCCGAGCCAGCACGAGCTTATATGTCGGCTCGACTTGAGCCGGCTCATGGACCACACTAAGCTTGAGAGCTGTGTTCACCGGAGCATGCAAGTGTTATTAATCGATAGAGGAGGAATGGGCCCTTTCTGTATATATAGTGCATACATAGCGTGGGATGTAGGTCGATCACTACTTGTGTAACCAACACGCTTGGAGAATGCCTGCACAGGTAGACCTTAGGGTGCGTCATGGGATGTCACTCGGGTAGATTCTGCCAAGCCCCCGCTGTAGCTTTTGGGGGAACGTTGCGTTGGGGTGCACGTGGGGTTAGGACTTTTGTATTGAGATCAGGTCAATGAAGCTGGACGTCTCGGTGCCGGTTATGTGACGACCTAGATACGTCGTACATGTAGCCTAACAGCTTACCGGATAGGACTGGAATAACAAAAAGTACTGCAGAGTATAGAATATTTTAAATATTCCACACTCTGCACCGGAATTGGATCTGGCCATGGAGTTCTCAACACTCGGTGTTCCTCCAGGACGAGCCGTCTACCACTAGACCGACCCGCCCACACGGTTTTCAGTGCACCGGAAGTAGTACTTGAGGCAAGAGGCGGATAGGGGCAGATATCTAACCCTGGAAATCTATGTACCCCGACGTCTTTGAAGCACATCATGATCCATCAACTTCGCGTGCTGCTACTCGCACTACAGATAACCTCAGTAGGATATACGCATGCACACATCTGACCTTGTTCTAACCTTACCCGACGTACCACTACTACATTACGAACGGGACTGACATCTCTACATCACCCCTCCGGTAAAACAAAAACAGAGGCCATACTCACACTGGATAGAAGCCGAAGTCTATACACTACGCGGAGACTACACCAGGCTCGTCATTATGGTAACTATGAAAAGCCCGGGAATCACAAAGTCCACGCATCTCCCGCGGTCTATCCCAAGCTGTACGGGGCGGACAAGATCAAGCACAGCCCGGCTTGTTTGGCCGTGGAATTAATTAGGAGTTCTGTTTCGTTTGGCTTTGGAGTCTGGTTGGGAGTATAGTCTTGACGTGGTGTTCCGGTGGGGTAGCAGGTGTAGAAGTATGCGTAACTACTATTGGGGGTCCTTTACTGGTGCCTTTTGCTTGGGCGCGGGGGGTGGTGGGGTGGTGGGTGTGAATTTACTTCATGGCAGGTCAGTCGACGGTAGTTCCTTGCATGCATGATGTTGGATATGTGTCATTCAAAGCAGTAAGGTCACGGTGTCGAACAGTAAAGGACCCGCTGTCAAGAGGAATAGTGTCCTGTCCAGGCTTCTATAAGATAACTTGTATTGGCCTTGGACATCTATACCAATTGAAAAACTCTAAGACTCGTCCTACTTTAAACACATGAGAGAAAGTACTTCGGCGGTGTTTCCACTCCAAGTAATGGGCTTACGGATAGCTACTTAAATCTTTACGCTATTCACCCTATTATTTATGGCAAGTAGCGGAGTGCTCTGCTACAGGTGATTCCAAAAGCCACAAGTGATACCAGAGCCATCCGGTGTCTTGAGCGGGGTGCACAAAGCGCATATTTACGGTCAAAGGAAGCCGAGGTAGATGGAGGATATTATTGGTATCACTATGATCCTAATTGAGACTGGCAACACATCATTGGATTCAACACTTCTAACCTCACTAGCTGGTACAGAAATATCACGATATCAATCCACTCCTGCTGCCAACTCTGCGTATATTTAGTCGCCTACCCTGACCTCTATCCCCGAACTTACAAAAAAAAAAAAAAAAAATCCCAACCGGAAAAAACACAAGAAGGAAAAAAGAGATCGCGAGAAAAAAAAGAAAAAAAAGAGAAGAAACCTACTGCCACTATCACTCTGGTCCAAGCCGTTGTCCGCTGCGCTGTCTCAGGTCCCGTTTGGCCCTTCAACATCCATACTTTTGATTTTTTTTTTCTATCTCTCCCCAATCGCGGGATCGCATTAGCCATCCTACACTCAGCAAACCAAGAGATTGTGATGGGAGATATACTTTTTTTTATTTTTTTTTTTTATTTTTTCATCGGGCAGCTCCCCCCCGGGGAAGAGCCGCAAGCTTTGAAAACCTCTCAATAAAGAGAAGTACCTAAACATCCCTTGGATGTCTACAAGATCCGCCCGCCAGTCCGTGACCGTTGGGCTTCCAAAAAAAAGCCTGCAATGAAGCCGGCCTTTACTCTGTATCATAAAAAACCAGCAATGAAGCCAGCCTTCCTGTGTATCATAAAAAAACCAGCAATGAAGCCAGCCTTTCCTATATATCATAAAACAAGCCAGCAATGAAGCCGGCCTGCTGTCTAGCCCCTATAGCCCTCCCCCTCGGGTTGCTATAGCATACTAGTGTTTCGCACGTGCTGGGATGGTTCGTCCTGCATACATGGTTCGTCCTGCATACATGGTTCGTCCTGCATACATGGTTCGTCCTGCATACATGGTGTCTCTGTTGCTGCTTCTGCTTTGCTACTATAAACTCGATCCGTTGTGCCCCTGCCGGGTCACTTGGATTCTAGGCATTCCCTTAGGCTCCTGGGGGGGGGGGGCTGTTAGCATGGGGACTGGACTAGGGTTGACAGCGTAGCTAGCATGAAAATACAGGAACATAGAAACAAGAAGCAGATATGCAGGCAGGCAGATAGGTAGGCAGGTAGGTAGATAGGCAGGCAGGCAAGCAAACAGGTACACAGGCAAAGCGATCAAGAACAAAACATAAGAAACAGCGAAGCGGGGGATGAGGATCCAGGAGGATAATATGTGGTGGTTTGGGAGGGGGGTGGGGGATTATATACCTCGCCTTTGTTGTCTTTGGATGGTCTGCCGTAAAGGCTTGGCGGTGCTTCAGGCATCCAACGTACCCCCCCTGCGTATGTGATATGTACCGTGTTCACGTGTCCAGTCTGCGTTTGTCTGCTGGGAGAGGGGCTTTTTTTTTTTTTTTTTACAGGATCTAGATCTACATGATCTGCCCCTCTCCCAGTAGGTATGGTGGCTGCAGTGATATGGTTCAGCTAATCACCATCGAGTGCGATCTCATGACGCAGCTGAAACACCTGCTTTGTTTTTACGTACATGCGGTCTCTAGCTTACGACCTTGGGAATAGAAATAGTGGTGAATCTAGGATGGTGCGTTGGCCGTTCGGAGCGTGGGGGGACGGCGGGCGGTAAGTGGGTGTTTGATCATTGACCCTTTCTTGGCATCTATCCATTGAGGGCCAAGAGAGAAGCCAAGATTCTCCAAGCTGCTATTATATATGGGGCCAGCTCACAGGGAGCATGCGGGCTCGGAATTAATACACAGGCTCTATAGCTCTAGATCTAGCTATAGAATTAGAAAGGGCCCTAGCTACATAGCTACCCCGGGGGGCGCCGGCCCTACCCTGGTAAATACGCTCTAGTTATATAGAAAAGAGCGCTTCGAAGCTGGTAAGTACATGTATTTCCTATCGCCATAGGCCTATCGATCAATACATGTAGGCAAAGGGCAACGGCAAAACTGCTGCGGAGTGTTTCACGGTAACGGGTGGGCTGGAAGTGGGTGTTGGCGGTCATCAGGTTCGGCTCTGTATCAGATGGGGTGGGGTTGGTTTTGGCCTGGAATGAAAGGAAGGTGCGCATGTGGTGTGTACCACTGGTAGGGAAGTAAAGTAAAGCAAGCAGCAGCAGCAGCAGAGGCTGCATATCTTTCTGATATGTACCTACTGTCTCTGCACTTTTCGGATTTTTTTTTAAACCCTGACCCTGCATAGCAGCAACCTGCCCAAGGTTAAAGTAAAGGTCTGGCTCATTGAGTTTTTCTACAGCTGAAAGCTCTGGACCTCCCAATGGCCTAGGTAGCGGTATTGGGGGTACGGTTCCCGAGGTAGTCCAACTGGGTGACCCCGAGCCGGTTCGGCTCACTTCCTGGGCAGGAGGGTTATGTAAGACGTAGAGCTAGGCTTATAAACTTGTCTTGGGCCACTAGGTTTTTGTTTTTGTAACTCTGTGGAGTTTGGGGTGTGGAATTGATCTGTTTCTTGTGCTTTGCAGTAAGTACTGCATGTAAGTGCGGTGTATGCTGCGCTATATTGTTCTGCCAGCCATTTTCTAGTCCGATCTTCGTTTCCCCAGCCAGCCAGCCAGCCAGAATCATTACCAACACACATATACACCCGCATTGCAAAGAGAGAAAGAGAATCAAAGGTATTACTATAAAAAGGCCAACCACAACAAGAAAAAACAAGAAGCCCGAAAAAAAACAGGAACCAAAAAGAAGTCTATCTACTCCTCCTCCCCGTCCTCCTCCTCCTCCTCCTCCTGCTCCTCCTCCTCCTTCTCCTGCTCGCCCTCCTCATACCGCCCCTCCTCCTCCCTCCCATCCAACAATACAGTCGCCACCGTCCCCCCCCACTCGCTCCCTTCTCCCTCCTCATCATCCTCCGCGGGGGCAATAACAGTGTCCTCCGCTGCTGCAGCAAGATCACCGACTATCTTGCCGAGCGAGACTTCAAGCTTGTTCAGCGCGTTGCGCGACGGCGCGTCCACCGCGACGTTCTCTTCGATGGCGCGCGCGACGAGCTCGTAGAGGGTGCGGAGGCGCTCGGGGGTGGCGTCGGCGGGGATGTAGAGCTTGGCGAGGGTTGAGAGGAGGCATTTCTTCTCTTCGCCTGTTCATCCCGTGTTGTTAGTTTTCTTCTTCTGTTTTCTGTGGGGTTAGAGTTGGGGGGGAGGGGGTAGAACTCACGGCCACAGCCACCCGCAAACACCCTCTCCAGCATCTCCGCCGCCATAACCACCTGCACGTCGGGATCTACTATTTTTTCTGCGATGCCGCCCTTGCCCGCGCTCACGCCGCCGCCCACATTCTTCCTCGGATCCGTCCAGTCGGCGAGCTGCGCACACACCACGCCCAGCCCCACCATCTCCTCCTCCTCGCCCATGCCCTCGCGCATCACCACGAGCGCATGCAGGATGCCCACCACGCCGCGCGCCATGCGCCCCTGGTTCGCCGGCCGCGAGTGGCAGTACACGGGGAAGAAGTACGTCAGTATCTGCCTGAGCGCGTGGTTGTCGACCGTGGCCGGGTCGAAGTAGGCGACGACGAGGAACTTGAGCAGCTCGTCGTCTTGGATCACTTGCGCGAGCATGAGCTTGCAGACGACTTCGGCGGCCGTGGACTGCACGTCGGTGTGGTCGTCGAGTTTGAGCGCCTTTGCGAGCAGGCGGTAGAGGCTGCGTTGGTCGACGGCGCAGCTGGGGGAGGTGAAGAGGGTCGACCCGTGGATGGTGAGGATGTCGGAGATGATGTGGAGGGCGGAGATTTGGAGGGCTTCGTGGCCTTTGTTGAAGCAGTGGGCGAAGAGGGTGAGGTTTTCTTCGGCGAGGGTCTGCGGGTGTTAGTATGTCTGATATCTGAATAGAGGGGGTTATAGAGGAAGAGGGGGAGGGGGAGGCGGAGGCGGAGGGGGAGGGGGAGGTTTGATATTGGAAGAAAACTCACTCTGTCCAGCAGACACGACAGGCCCAGACAGTGCAGCCCGCGCTCCCGCACCGGCGCCTCGTGCGAGCGCACCGCCGGCACAATCAGGCCGTTCAGCATGCTCACCAGATGCGTGTTCTGCTTCAGGCTGCCCTCGACGTTCTCCAGCATGCACTGCGCAATGTGCAGGCACTTGAGGTTGATCATCATCTCCTTGATCGCGCGCGCCTCCTCCTCGTCCTCCTCGTCGTCGTCTTCAGCTTCCTCTTCTTCCTCGGCGTCGTCAACGTCCATCATGTCGACGTCCATCATGTCCGCGTCTTCGTCCTGCTGCTGCTGCTGCTGCTGGGAGGCCTTCTTCTTCTTCTTCTTCTTCCTGCTGTCCGCGGCCGCCTTCTTGCGCTTCTTCTCCGCGGTCTCGCGCTCCCGCTCCCGCTCCTTCTCCTTCCGCACGGTGATGCTCTCGTTCACGCCGTCCTCAATGTCGCTCTGCGCCGAGTGGAAGCTCTCCGACGCCGCATCGTCGCCCACCGTCTCGTCGCCCTCCTGCTGCTCGTCCTCGATGGCATCGTGCACCTCCGCAATGACCTCGAGGATCAGCATGCAGAAGTCGCCCTCGCCCATGCTCAGCTTGCCCAGGCACTCGACCACCAGCTTCGTCACGCCCTCCGTCAGCTGCGGGATGCTCAGGCTCTCGCGCAGCAGCGTGAACATCCTGCGCCGCCCAATCTCGTCGCCGTAGTCCGTCTTGAGCGCGATCATCAGCATCTGCTCGACGATGAACTCGAGCTCGCCGGCCTCCTCGTCCTCGGCCTCGACGGCCGCGATCAGCTTGTTGATGTAGCGCTGCAGCCAGAACGCCAGCTTTGTCACCTCGGGCATCTTCTCCTCCAGCTCTGCCGCTGCCCCACCTGCTCCGCCGCCCTCACCGCCGCCGCCGCCGCCGCCGCCGCCGCCGCCCCCGCTGCCTCCGCCGCTCTTGACATAGTCGTTGAACGACCTGGCCAGGAACGCGCTCTCGGCCGTCAGGTTCTCCCAAAACTCGTCATCCAGCACAACCTGCTCCACCACGTCCTTCCGCTCACTCCAGAACCCGCGCATCGCAACCTCCTTCACCCCGCCCTGCGACCCGTCCCCGACAACATCCAGCCTTTCCAGCACCGACAGCAGGTCCCCGCCCACGTCCTCGACCCACCGGTAATTAAACATCTTCCGCGCCGCCACACGCACGCTCTCGTCGCGGTCGTTCAGCCCCCACCGCAACAGCTTCTCCCGCATCCCGATCGACAGATGCCGGAAGTCCCCCAGCGTCGGCAGCAGCCGCGTAAACACGCTGCGCCGCGTCGCGCTGTCCACGTCGCGCGTGCGCGCGAGCAGATACGGCAGCGTGTGTGGCGTCGGCGAGACGTTGTAGAGGATGGTCCTGCGGACGTCCGCGCTGGGGTCCTTCTCGATCGCGTCGAGGAGCAGTGCGAGGGCGCCGCCGGGGGCGGGGGCGGCCGCAGCCGTCGATTCGTCCTCGCTGGCGCCGTCGTCGGCGTCCGTGCCGTCGACGCCCATCTCGAGGAGGCGGACGAGCGCCACGACGGCCTGCACGCGCACGGGGGCTTCGCGGTCCTTGAGGCGCTTGCTGAGCTCCGTGAGCGTCTTTGTGAAGATGCGCTTTTGAGACGGTGGAGAAGGCGGTGGGGAAGGGGGGGAGCGTGTTGGAGAGGAGGAGGGAGAGGAGCTGGGTTGTGCGGTAGCGGGCGGCCTTTTCTTTGCTGGAGAGGAGGGGGGTGAGGTGTTGGAGGAGGGCGAGGACGAAGCGGTGCGGGGGCTGCGGGGTGAAGGTGGCGGGGTCGAAGGGGGGTTCGTCGTCGTCGTCGGAGGAGGCGTCTTCTTCGGCGGGTGGGGGGTCGCCTTCTGCGCCGTCTGCGGCGGGGGTAGGTTTTGGTTTCTTGTTCTTGGGCTTCGGTTTATCTTCGCCCACAATATCAGCACTCCCTCACTCCTCGAACTCGCCCAGAACACAGATATCGCACAAAACATACCCTTCTCCAACAGCCCCCTCACAAACACATCCACAAACCTCAAACACCGGTCCGCCACCACCTCCCCCTTCTTCACCACCAGCACACGATCCAAGAAGCGGAAAAACTCCTTCACAAACGCCTTCTCGCCCCTCTGCCCCCCGCCACCCGGGACCGTAGCGCCGATGGCGCCAGTGCCGGCGATGCACTGCTCGTAGGTCGCGCGCAGCGTCACGGCCAGCTTGCGGTGGCCCGCGGTCGTCTTTTGCGCGCTGTCGAAGACGGTGGCCAGGGTCGTGGAGAGGGGTGTGTAGGGCGGGGGGGGCGAGGGGGGCGAGGGGGAGCGTGGGGGGGAGGCGGCGGGGGGCGTGGGGCGTGGGGCGCGTTTGCGGGGGGGGGCGCGCGGGGCGCGGGGGGGTTTGGCGGGGGGCATTGTAGTTGTGTGGTTATAGGAATTGGTGTGGGCGGTGGTTGGGGTTGTGGTTGTGGTTGTGGTTGTGGTTGTGGTTCTGTGTTTCTGTTTCTGTGTTTCTGTGTTGTGCTGTGCTGTGGGAGGTGAATAGAGACAGACGGGGTTGTCAAGGGTGTGTTTATCGAGCCCGGTGGCTGTGATTAGATGGGCGTTATCTTATCCGTATCTAATCTATCACCATCTAATCTGCGGTGTCTAATCTAATCTCCCCACCCCCAATCTAATCCATCGATGCCGCTCTCCACAATCTAATCTCCCGCTGTCGCCTCATGCAGGGCCCGCAAACACGCACACAACCTGCCGCCCACGCAAACACCAAACACGCCCAGCCAATCACAGCGCCGCTGATTGCGCTGCATGACACGATCTACGCCACCGCCACCACCACCACCACCACCCACTCCCGCGCCCGCGCCCGCCTACTTGCAAATTAAACCTGTGATCTTGAACACTCCACTCCTCCTCCCCTTCTCGCGTGCCCGCTTCTTCCCCTCTCTTTCTCTTCCACTGTACTCGTTTTCACTCCTCTTCTCTCGTCGTAATATAGTAGACATAGACCCCATAGACTCGACTGTACATACGCCCCACCCCACACAATGTTCCGCCTAGGTCTCCGCCGCGCCTACGCGACCGCCTCGGAGTGCGCCAGCCCCTACTGCGTAAAGGTGTCGAAGGCACAGCGCACCGTGAACGGCTTTGTCGGAGGTTCTTCCCCCCCTCTCTTGCCCTGTAGAGTGTAGGGTGTAGGGCGAAGGAGTGTGTACTGACGCCGCAAGTGTGATACAGCGATCGGAAACACGCCCTTGATCCGCCTCAACAGGGTAAGCGAGGAGACGGGATGCGACATCTATGGCAAGGCGGAGTTTATGAACCCGGGGGGGTCTGTCAAAGGTTCTCCTCTCTCTCTCTCCCTCTTCCTGCTCTTTTCTCTGCTGTGCTGTGCTGCTTGGGGTTGTGGTTGCTGACGCCGTGTGTTGTGTTGTAGACAGAGCCGCGCTGTACCTCGTCAAGGAGGCGGAAGAGAAGGGCCTTCTCGCGCCCGGCGGGACCGTCGTTGAGGGCACGGCGGGCAACACGGGGATTGGGCTGGCGCATGTGTGTCGCTCTAAAGGTCTGCTCTGCTCTGCCCTGCCCTGTTTTTTCCTGTTCTGCTGTGCTGTGCTGTGGGGGGAAGGTGCTGATTGTGCGGTGGGGGCGCAGGGTACAAGTGCGTCATCTATATGCCGGACACGCAGTCGCAGGGGAAGATTGATCTGCTGAGGTTGTTGGGCGCGGAGGTGTATCCGGTGCCGGCTGGTGAGTTTTGAGTTTTTTCTTTTTCTTTTCGTTGTTGTGGTGCGGGTGCGGGCGGTGGGTTTCTTCTTCTCTTCGTGGGCTTTGTGGGCGCGGGCCTGGTGTGCCTGAGTACTCTTGTAGAGCAGGTGTGAGTTCGCTACCCCCGACGCTCCCAGAGCTCGCGGGAGTCTACTCCATGCCCAGCACCACACTCCCGAAAGAAGAGACCGCACCCACCCCTATTCTCCCCTCTTCCGGCCACAGCTAACCCCCCCCCCCCCCCCTCTCCCCCCCCCAGTCGCCTTCGAGAACCCCCAAAACTACAACCACCAAGCCCAGCGCCACGCCGCCTCCCTCCCCAACGCCGTCTGGACCAACCAATTCGACAACACCGCCAACCGGCGCGCCCACATCGAGACCACCGGCCCGGAGATCTGGTCGCAGCTCGCTGGCCGCGTCGACGCCTTCACCTGCGCCACCGGCACCGGCGGCACCCTCGCCGGCGTCACCCGCTACCTCAAAGAAGTCTCGGACGGGCGCACCGAGTGCGTCCTCGCGGACCCGCCCGGCAGCGTGCTGCACAGCTACATCCAGTCCGGCGGGAAGCTGGTCGAGCGCTCAGGTTCGTCAATCACCGAGGGCATCGGCCAGGGGCGGGTTACGGATAACCTGCGGCCCGAGGTGAAGCTGCTGAACGGGAGCGTGAAGGTGAGTGATGAGAGCAGCGTGGAGATGGTGTATAGGCTGCTGGATGAGGAGGGGCTGTATATGGGTGCGAGTAGCGCGCTGAATGTGGTTGCGGCGGTGGAGGTGGCGAGGAGGATTGGGCCGGGGAAGACGGTGGCGACGGTGTTGTGTGATGGCGCGTATAGGTATGCGGATAGGCTGTTTAGTAGGTCGTGGTTGGAGGGGAAGGGGCTGTGGGGGGCGGTGCCGGAGCGGTTGAGGAAGTATGCCGTGCTGGCGTAGTGGGTGCTGGCGTAGTGGTGGTGGTGGGTGGGAGAAAAGGGGGGGGGGGGGGGACTGGATAGGATGGGGGTGACATCGTGTTGTGGAGCTCCAGGTGGGGAGAATGGCCGGTGGTAGAGCCAGTGTCAATAGCGGTAAACTAGCCAAACATAAGCAAGGTAGTGGGCCTGTTCCGTAACCCATCATGCGCAACACCGGATATCCTGCAGTGCGATCATTGGCCCTCTGAGAGGGTGATATATACCCAGTCCCTGCGCCCGTTTGTGCGGAGGCTCGTCCCGGGTTATGTGCGGTGCATGCAGTAGGTACTCTACTCGTAAATGCACTCCGTTCCCGCGCGCAGCTGTTATTGCATACATAGAAAAAAATGGCCAAGTCCGCGGTATGCAATAGCGGTCGTGTTCGGAAACCTGGGTGTGGGGTGTAACACCGCTGGGGGTAGATGATGGCCGAGTGATGGGCTGTGATGCAGGGTGGATAGTAATCCTTCCCTTTGTTTTCCGTCCTCTGGGGAATTGTGGGATTGCTACCGCCCCGGAGGAGATACTTGTAGAGCTGCATATAGCTCGGTCCCTAGGCTCCCATAGTCAATAGTGGATTCACCGAGAATAGGTAGCTAAAGCGAAAGCTGAACCTCCCGGCCATGGATGGCCTGTGGGTAAGGATTTAGGCACATAACTCTCTGAGTATGGAGGCGTGCATGGTGTGTTGTAAGTACATACCTACATACAGCGCCATCCGCCCATTTGCTATATTCCTGCCCCATGTTGAGTAGAGGTACCGATCCCGCGCACAGCACACCGGGCTCAGGTATTCCGGCATCGCGACCCTTGACGTTACACAGCGTCTGTTTATAGCCATGATCATCTGCCTTGGCACGCAAGGGGCGGGTTGCCTGACTGTTATAAAGACCACCTCACGTCACCTCACCTCACCTCGCCCCCCCCCCCCCCCCTTCCTCTCTTTCTTCTTCTTCTCCTTCTCCAGACACATGCACACCACACGCTCGTAACTGTTCTTTTTTTCTTTCTTTGTTTTGATTTTTTCTCTCTTTCTTTTTTTTTTTTTTTTTTCCCGTTTGGCGGCCAGGGGAAGTGGTGGTGAACTTAGCGGGAATGGTTCTGTTTGCTAACGCGATGGTTACAGGTGGTTGCTAGACTATCAATTCTGTAGAACCGTACTCAAACCCTCCTCCCTGGTCTAACCGGGTAGCTGGGTAATCATGGATAGGGATAATCCCTCACTGTCTCACAAGATTCTCAAGTCTCTCAAAGGGCGATATGCCTTCAGATTCTCAAGTCTCTCGACTCTAAGCACATGCTGCTCAAGCCTCACCGCTCAAGCAACTCTGCTCGAACTCCAAGCAACTCTGCTTTATTGACCATTGGTGTTAATATTTGACTTAGCTTGAATGGATCCGAACCTGCCTCACAGCAAGCTCCACGATCTACAAACGGAAACTGCCTCACAGCAAGTTCCACAACTACCTGCGAATAGCGGGCATTGAAAAGAAACATAACACTTGGACAGAAGATTTCTATCCTTTTTTTCTGAAAAGAAAAATGGATCAACATGGCACATACTGTTATACATGTGTAGCCAAATGCCGGATACTCCTCGGACAGAAGATTTCTATCCTTTTTTCTGAAAAAAAAAAAGGATCAACATGGCACATACTGTTATACATGTGTAGCCAAATGCCGGATACTCCTCGGATGGGCTTTTTTCGAATTGCGCGTCGATTCTTGGTATTTCCGTGAAAAGGTGTCCCCCCCGTGGCGCCCCCGAGAAAAATAAAAATAAAATATAAAAAAAAAAAAGTTAGTATTAAGCTAAGCACCTGCTCTGCTACCTCTTCCTAATCGATGGGTCAGACGGGATAACTAACCGATTTGTGGTGAACAGAAAAAAAAAATGCAAAGTATGGATGCCCCCTTCACCTCTGAAGCGGCAGCGATATTGTGTTCACGGATGTTGGTAGGTTTGCGATTTTTCCTTTGCTGTCTTTGTTCCCTGGCTGGCTGCCTCTCGTTTTTCGATGGTTGTGTGTGTCTGTGTGTGTGTGTGTGTGTGTGTGTGTGTTAGTGTGCGGGGGATGGGGCGCGATTCGGGGTAGATAGCTAAATTTATTACTGTTTGTGCTGGATGGATTCGAACGCATAGCAAGCTTGGCTCTTTGAAAATAAACTCTCTCTTAAACAATTTTTTCCTGGCAAACCACTCCAGAAACAAGAACCGCTAGCAATTTAAATTCATGATGGATGCGAGTGATAAGCTGTGACACAAGTTAACCCCCGCCAGGCTCCCGCATGCGCAGTAGGGTGGGGGGTACTTGTGTGAATATTTACTAGATATCAAAGGTGCTCTAAACATGTAATCATGAACACTTTTGTAAAGTGCCCGTACTTCTAAGGCCTACAGTATTGTAAGCCTTGTCCTATTTGAGAGTGTCGAACTAGCTCCGCCGGGGATACCGTGCGTAGAGTACAGGAGCTGTACCACACCGACGTGCTGCCAAATGTTAGCAATTCCAGCCACCTCTTAAGAAGCTGCATATGTACATAGCTTATCTCACTCACCGCCACTTGGAGATTTTCCGTAATATGTATACTAGCAGGATTCAAGGTCCCCCTTGGGGTTTCTGGCCCGTGGCTCTTGATACTTGGTCATCGATAGCTAGAGGTGTTGCTGGATTGACCGTGGGGATTTCATTGTGATGTATCTATTTTTTCCCAAAGGACAGTGTTTACTTCTTTCCCAAAGGACAATTTAGAGTTTTGCTAGCGTATACCATGTGGATTGCTGCACTAGACTAGTGAAAGTCATAAAAGCCCCCCCTTCGACTCCGGCCAATCCAATACATTCCATCCATCATATCTCCAACCATATAAATTGCCAGACCTTCCAATGGACCGCCATGAAAGGAATCCCCCTAAACCCTGACTATTGTTATAAGGCCTAGGCTTGACTTATTGAGTTTGCGCCGCTGTTGGGGATTTCTTTCAAGACACCAACCATTGTTGGTAGTCTACAGAGTAAACGGATTTACGTCCCTCACTAAAGTAAGATGTGTCTCCTCCAAGCAATCCTCCTTTAGCTCTTAGGAGATTGATATTGATAGTTATGGTGCCTCATAATGCGTACCAGTCTGGCCCCGGCCTAGACACACGATAGCCGCCTATAACAGTAGAGAACCGGGATTGCTAACGACTGGATCAAGCGTCGTTCAAGTCTACGGTTGCCAAGAAACAACTACAGGGCACAAACGATAAATATCCTCTTGGCAACCGTCTGAGAAAAGTGCAATTATGGTACCTTTATCAGCCCGGTCCGACCCGAATGGGACCCGGAAAAGCCTACTGGTTATTCTTTAGCTCTTGCGGTCATCATACCAACCACAAATTTATATAACATCAAGTTCATTGGAGCGATGGTTCTATCATACTGGTACGTGTAGTAGTGGTTTGCAGTACATGAGGTTTAGTCACACCGGAAAGAGTAGATGATAATGGCCACGCAGAAAGTAAGCCTTCGCCTTGCTGTTATGTTGGGGAATGTGTCAGCTACAACTAGCAGGATTACTTCGGTTACCAAGCAGAATGCGGTGACCTAAACTCTGTATATGCTATGCAAGATGTCTGATATTTTGATATCATCAGTACTTCAAAGCTTAGCACATTTACGACTTCATGGTACATACACAGTAGAACGTCTAGACCGGGGTTTACGCAACCATTGAGGTTATGAACCGGTTATGTACGATCTAGACATATTATGGACTTGTTCTGGGTAGCAGCTATACATATCGCGCGCTTACTCACGGTCTGGGGGCTCAACACGAGTGATCGCCCATGCACCACCACGTGCTTTCCTCCCAAGACCTCGACAATCGGGTCTGTTCCTATAATTTGGACCCCGTTCTTTGCAAAGCTTGCATCACAATTACGCCTACGGCTTTCCAGATGTATTTACAGCAGTCCAAATCTCAATATCTGAATCCCACCCACACTGACCGACCTGGCCGCCGCCGCGGATTTTGCTCGGCGACCGCAACGTCGATGAAAAAAAGAGGTCTAGACCTTCAAAAAGCAATAACAGATTGTAACTGTTACCGTTAACCAATTATGCAGGCTGCTAACTAACTGTCACAACCCCCCCCCCCCCCCCTTCACCTTCACTCCCACAAAAATTGTCAAAGCGTAGACAGCAGGATCTACTTTGCACCAAGGCTGAAGAACATGGATTCTTCCTTCACAACAGCGCTTACGTAAAATAGGGAATAGTTCCATACGTACGCACGGCGAGATAGCCTGGGTTACGAACGGGAGTAACCGTTCGAGGCTTCTGCAAAGAATAAAGAAGTAAAAACGAAGCGGGGGGTACGTGAGGTGGGTGAGGGAAGAGGAGGAGGAGCGAACACCGATTAATGGTGGGCTAGATTCACTGGTCTTGCATCAACCTACCAATTGCAAATGAGACTAGAATAACACGTGTGTTATCACATTGTGCCACGGTTCCGCGTTCAGGGGCAGTTTTTTTTTTTCCCGGAGTTCGGAGTACATGATGTCAGACGTCAATGTGGTGGATACCGAAGAACTCTGCATGCATCTATGCACATGTAGATGTGGTGCTGATACTCAAAGGAGAGAGGAATGTTGTTACTGACTGGACTCTTTAAGCATAAAAATTAAATTTCATGCCCTCTACGAAACACCTTTGTCGCACGCCAGCGTCACCCTCGAAATCTGCATCAACAGGGCAACGCCACGAGTGACAGGTCATGTTTCAAATGCCTCACCGCAGGAAATTCCCCTCGGTGGCCTGATATGTACATAAGGTCTAACAAAAAGAGTTGTTTTGTTGTTGTTGATTAATGATCCTCTTTAAGTAACCAAACTCACATTATAAAGTTATATCCAGAGTTGCAAAGTACTTATTTTCAAGAGAAACAAAGGCCCAGTGGAAAAGAAAAAGAAAAAGAAAAAAATGGAATAGGAACT